ATCAAGACGTCCAAAAGATAGAGCGTCCGAATGACTAGGCGATGAGCTTCGAGCAATGGGAGATAGGTCTTTTAGGGCGTCCGGTTGATTGACCTGACCAGAAGCACATGTGGTGCTGATTGCCAGGCTTGGGACGCCATGAGCATCGTCGTCTGCGCCAACAAGCCTGTCGATTGACCTCGCGCGGCTATGCTCTTTTGGGGGCTTCAATTTGTCTTTGCTCCTCATGCTGTTGACGACACGCCGAGGCAACCCTCCGAAGAGACCGCCTAACTGTGAGCCACCAGGTGTGTCTAGGGCCGTGGGAGTACCTGGTAGAGCTGGAGGGAAACCAGGGGACGCCGATCGACCTGGGTGGTGCAGGTCTGCTTGGCGGATAGTGCTTATCGAAGACAGGGCGCGGTCTTGCATCTGAGGTCGCTGCAGGCCTTCGAGGTTCTGCGCGGGCGATGCAGTACGGGAGTTGGGGCTATCGAAGTATTTTGACCGTTCTCTTGCTTCCGGACTTGCTGTAACACTATGAGAGAGCGGGTGCTCTGCTTCACGCGAGCGAGTCAAAATCTCTAAGATAGCGCCAGGTGCTAGGCTGCCACGTCGACCTTCGTACGGGCGAGCATCTTGACTGATAGTACTGCTCGAAGAGTTCGCGCTGATGCTTGGAGGAGCGTCCTGGTTGGTGGCTGAGCTCTGTGCGCGCCGTCTTGAACCTGAACTGCGGGTTGTGAAACCTTTGACAAACTCAGATGTCTTCTTAGCAGCGGAGCGGAGGCGGTCAACGAAGCCAATTGGGACAACAGCCTCTTCAACATCTTCCTTGGAAATCTGAATCCTTCTTCCATCGTAAGACTTGCTGGGGTCCGTCTCTTCAGCCCACGAGACGTGGTTAGGAATACCAGACAGTAGCCATGGGTGGCGCTTGATCTCTGGTATAGTTATGCGTCGTCTTGCATCCTTGATCAGCAGTCGTCGGAGTAGATCGCGTAGGTTTTCGTCGACCTCTTCGTACTCGAGGTCATGCGGTGCCCGCTTGCTACTCATCATCGGCTGACTGTTACGTCCGTGTGAGTTGGGCCGCGAGTTTGATTGCTCAGCAACAGGCTTCAACCGGTACCTGGGGATATAGGGTTCGTCTTCGCTAATGACTTTCATCAAAGTGAAGGTGTTGGTGTCGTGAAAAGGCACGCGACCATAGATAAGGCAGTATAGCGTGACGCCGAGGGCCCAGATGTCGATTCCGCCATCAATGAGGGGGGTCTCGGCGTCGATCTCTGTACGACATAACTCAGGGGCGTAGAAGGCTGGAGTGCCTACCGTCTTCGCTAGTTCAATGGCTTCGTCAACTTCTTGGTAGTCAGACTCGGAATGCTCGCCGTTACTTTCATCTGTCTTTTGCCGTCCCAGATAGGATACACCAAAATCGGATATCTTGATACGATGCTCCCTGGTAACAAGAAGGTTGGCGGGCTTAATGTCACGATGAATGACGTTCTGATAGTGCAGGTATTCTATGCCTAGCACAGTATCTTTGAAGGCTTCCCAGGCAGCGTGTATGGTCATCAAGGGGACGTAGTTGAAGTGTTCAGGGATTTCTTCACCAGGGTCAGTCACACGAGACGAGGAGCTGCCAGCAACGCTTGGTACGCGACCTCTGCTAAGCTCCGTGTCGTATGGCCCGTACATGGTTCCCTCAAGCCCATCAGCCCAGGAGTTGTTCACAGGCTCAGGCGATCGGAAAGCGGTCTCCATGTGGTCATCGTGGTGGCTCACAGGGTCTGGTCGCTCGCGGAAATGGACACGATTGAGTGGACGATCGTCTTCACGGTAAGATGCTACCGAGCTACGCCCGTTCTCAGAATACTCGTCTTCCGAGTCGGTTGCAAATTCCAGGCTCCATGGCTGGTTAGAGGAGCCGTCTTTCCGACGAAGGTGTGCCTCCCTAGCCATGCGACGTTGCTGCCGAGCAAGCTTCTGGTGGGCGATACGGATGATGCGTTCATCTTCTAGTGTTGCACTGTCGTTGTCGAAAATGCCTTCGGACTCACGCTTGAAGCGACGCCATTCGACAAGACAGATCTCCCTAGCGCCCTCGGTCCTCCACTTGACCTCGCCCAGCTCAACGTGCTCAAGTACGATGTAGACCTTCTTCTTAGCTGGGTCGTCAATGACCTCGAGCAAGCTGACAATATTGGGGTGACGAGCCTTTTTGAGAATGGCTATCTCGCGCTTGATCTTGTCTTCGTGGCTGTTGTTCTTGCCGAGGCGTCGACGCTTGGAGTAGCGGTCGACAATCTTGATGGCGACGTATCGGCCGTGGACCAGGTCCTTGCCCAGCTTGACCTTACCGTGGACGCCCCGGCCGAGCTCGTCGATAATCTCGTACTGGTTCACAATCTTGCGTCCGGAAACGGGGTCGGCCTGGACATCGGCAATGTGGGTCTCCTTGGGCGCTTGTCTGTGGGTATGGTGGAGCCAGGGCGTGGAATAGGTGCCATCGTCGGGCTGATCGGGCTCCTGGGAGGGGCGGCGGTTGGTAGGGTTGAAGAGGCCGGGGCTGCTCACGGGAGAATTGCCAACAGTGCGTGGAGCCGACTCCATGATGTCCCTGTAGTGCTCGTGGGAGAGACCGAAGGCGGCCAGGCTGGACAGCGAGTTTGCGGCCGAGTGCGAGGGGTGGGAGCTGCGGGAGCGGATGATGGGCGGGACATAGGGCTGGGGGTACTGCTGCAGGTGAAGAGCGGCATAGGACTGGTTGGGGTAGACTGGCCCATCGCGCTGGCGTGGAGGGAGGGCGTGAGGGTGGGTGTGGGTGTGAGGGTAGGCGTAGGGGTGGATGGGGTCTACCGAGTTGGCTCGTACAGTCGCGTTGCTGGCCGTGGATGCACTCGAGAGGTCTCGCATAAAGGCAGGGCGGTCGGGGTGCGGAGTCGACGAGTGAGGGGCCTCGTTGACGGTGGTGAGGGAGGCCTGTGAAGCATGTGCGCTGGTGCTGGGCGAGGGGTTGGTCGAGGCGGGCGAGTCGCGGGGAAGGGGCGACGAGTAGACTCGGAGGGGTTGTGGAGAGAAGTAGGAGGGCTCCGGGTCGAGGGTGTGAATCTGCGACAAGAGACTGGCGTTGAGGGCGTCTGGCACCGAAGGCACCTCGGAGCGGGGCGTGCAGTCGTTCTCGTCGTCGAGGGGGAGCGTGGCCGCGCCGTCTGCAGGGCCTTGACTCGGCTTGGGCTCCTCGCCATGGTGCACTTGGTGCTCTTCTCTTTGGTCTGCAGCTGCCTCTGGTGCTGCGGCGTCTGGGGCCCGGTGGCAGGCAGGTGACGCTGGCGACGATTGCGCCTGCTCGTCGCGCCGGTCCCCTTCGGCTGTCACGTCTGCATTGGGGTCGACCATGGCAACCACACAGCTCAGGACGTGTCAGCTCAGCAGCGGCGTGCAAACATGCCAGCCCTTCTACGGTTTGTCGAGGCGCAGTGCGTGGGCGGATAGTCTCATATCGCGGCGGGCTAGACGGCGGCGGCGGTGTCACAGCGAGGACAATGGCGGCCGTGTGGACTGGGCTGAGGTTCACGGTCGGCGGCGATGGGCGTGGCAGGGCAGGTTGTGATGGTAGCAGTGGGCCGGGTGGTGGGCTCAACGGCTCGATATGGATTTGGTTGAGAGACACGATCGGCTCACTTGCGCTTTTCCCTAAGCGGCGATGATAGTCGTGAGTATTTCGGGGCCCATTAGATGACGCTCTGAAGCGGGAGAGACACGCCGGGGCTGGCAGCAAAAGGTGGGGACGCTATTCTATCGCGCAGAGCATAGGCGAAGACGCAGGTGGAGGCCGTCAAACGTACCCACGGCGCGCTCACAGACGAGATGGCGACGGCGACCAGAGGCCACAATGCGCCCGGTGGACCGATTTCTTGTTGAGCAGGCCAGCTGCGATATGGCCATCTTTTTGTCTTGGGACAGCTGCCTCTGGACGGCAACCGACTAAGATATGCAGGTGACAAGAACGGGTATGGCTGCATACATTAGTGCCTCCTGGCGAGCTCGAGCCCTTGCCCTCAACAACAGGTGGCGTTCGACTGCGTGAGGGGTGTGGTTCGTTTGTTCAACCAAACTCCCTCTGCTCAGCACCATGTGCCTGTATCCCAGCTGTGGCCGCGCAGGGGCTGCCTCTGCCGCCTCCGCTTCGGTCGGCATACGCATTACATGATGAAGCGCGATAAGCACCCTGGCCAAACCATCATAGCACGTCGTCTCTTAACGGACCCTCTCTAGCACACAAGCCTTTCCCCAGATTTACCCTCGTTGATGCTCGGGTACTCGACCTTTTTTGCTTCTTCGTTCCCGTGCATACTCAACATGCTACGTCAAATCTCACGCTATCTCTGCGTCACTGCCCGTTGTTGTTGGGCCGGCACACGCACACACGCACACATACACTGCCACAGCCATCGTGCGACGACGACTGCAACAATCACCTCCATCTTACCCTCTCTGAATTGTGTCCAGTATCCAACCCTTCAAGGCCGTATGCACTAGGTCGCATTCTGCAAGCGGCTGCTGTTGACCACAGCGAGTACCTCTAGTATACCTAGGTACTTTTTCCTTTGCAAACTCCCCCCTCTGATGCCACGACACCCGCTCCAGACCGCCTGCAGACACGGGCAAATTATCAATAATCAACTATCGTGAGATTCGCGGCCCCGTATGTGCACAGTCGCACGGCGGCGCATGCTGCAAAGGGCCAGCACAGATGAAGCCGAGTCTAGGCGCAGCCCGTCTCCTCAGCAATCATCGTGAAAGTCCTAATACGGTAAGGCACGCAGCATCAATTTTCTGCACCTTGACACGCTTGAGCACGGATGCATGACAAACCGTGACTGCTTGTGCATCGCGCCAAGGAGCTAGACCACCGGCTTCGCATCCTCACCTCTGCTGCGAATCTCATCTCACTCTGCTCGCCAACCATTGCCCCAGCCTTCCGCTTGTGCTCGTTGTTTCTTCCCTATTATCCAATGCCGACCCGCACCAACGCTGCGAGGGACACGAATCCGAGCGGGACTGGTGCTCCACCACGAGCGCAGTCCAACAGCTATCGTGACTCGACGCTAGGCATCTTCGCATTGCTGCTTGCTTTCCGCATCGTGAACGCACTAACCCTGCGCACCTTCTTCCAGCCCGACGAGTTCTTCCAGTCGCTCGAGCCTGCATGGCAGCTGGCTTTTGGCCCCGCCACCCATGCCTGGATCACCTGGGTAATTTTGCCTTCAAGTGCTCCATCATCACCAGTTAGCTCACCGTGGGCAGGAGTGGAGATCCCAATTGAGGTCGTCCCTGCATCCAGCGCTATTCGCAGCCGTCTATCGAGTCGCGGCACATGTTGCTGACCTCTGCGGCTTGCGCTTGCCTGCTAAAGCCGAACTACTCCTAGCTGCCCCGAAAGTTACCCAAGCCGTCTTTGCAGCCTTGCTTGATTGCTACACTTGGAAACTTGCGGAAAAGGTTTACGGTCGTGGCAGTCGCACCGCTCTCACTACTGTACGCGACACCCGTAATCATGATGCAGCATTCTCTGATATTTGATCCTCCCTACTTCTAGCTTGCATTGTCTGTTTGCAGCCCATGGCAATGGTTCTGCGCGACACGGACACTATCTAATTGTCTTGAGACTACCATCACTTCGGTTGCTATCTATTATTGGCCTTGGCGGGGTGATTGTAAAACGCATATTGCACACCAGAACCTCGGCTCTCTCTCAGAGTAAGTCATGAAATCAAAACACCCTTTGCCTGCTCCGCCACCACTTTAGGCTCATGCTCCTGCAGGTTGCGCCTGTCACTACTTCTGGCAGCGCTTGCGTGTATTCTCCGGCCAACCAATGCTCTCATCTGGTTATCCATATCTATCCCAACCCTGTGGCAAGCCTCACAGCGGCCGCGCTATGTGTTGGCCCGTGAAATCCTGATTTGCGGGTAAGCTCTTGCTCTCCTTGCATCCGCTGCACGTTTCTCGTTCCCATAGTGCAAAGATCCATTGTCGGGTCTGTCTTTTCTGCATCCCCGGAGGTCACCAGACCTTTCCAACTGACGACGCTAGCTCCGCCGTACTGGTATGCTCAGTCGCGACCGATCGGCTCTATTACAGGGTCTGGACTCTTCCGCCGCTTAGATTTCTCTATTTCAACATCGCCCAGTCGTTAGCCGTCTTCTACGGGAGGAACCGCGGCGACTACTATTTCACCGAGGGTTTGCCGTTGCTCCTCACGACATCGTTGCCTTTTGCCGTGATCGGCTTATGGCAGTCGCTGCAGGGCCCAGAGCCAGAGCCATTTGGCTCAGCCAAAAGTGACAGACCGGATAACACAACAGCTTCAAGTCAAGATGCTACAGGCGGTCGGATACTTGCCCGTCTATCATGGACGGTGACTGCCATGACTGTGACATTGAGTTTGATATCGCACAAAGAAGTTCGCTTTCTTTACCCGATCTTACCCTTCCTCCACATCATCTCCGCCAGGCCACTCAGCAGGTTTCTCCCTCCCCATGCCGCACTGTCGCACAAAGCAGTTATTCTGTTTCTTCTAGCTTCAAATGTCCTACTTGCTAGCTATGCATCTCAGGTCCATCAGCGGGGGGTCATTGACGTACTCGCCTACCTCCGTCATAAACACGAAACACGTAACAGCCTGTTGAATACTCGTAGCAGTACCGGGAGCAACAGTCCTGCCGTGTCCAATACGACAGTCGGCTTTCTCATGCCCTGCCACTCCACACCATGGCGCTCCCACCTCGTCTACTCTGAAATCTCCGCATGGGCTTTGACCTGCGAACCGCCCATCAACATTCCCCTCTCCGAGCGCTCGACCTATCTCGATGAGGCGGATGAATTCTACATCAAGCCTGGTCCGGTGGCCTGGCTCCGTGGTAATATGGAAGATGTACAGACGATTAAGGCGAGTGGAAGTAGATCCGGCCAGCATTGGACGCGCCAGGATCCAAAATTTAAGCGCAAGTATCGGCGTCAGTGGCCGCAAAACCTTGTTTTCTTTGAGCAGCTCGAAGCAACCCTGGAGGAGTATCTTGAGGGAACTAGGTATCAGGAGTGTTGGAGGGGGTTCAATAGCCACTTCCACGATGATTCGAGGAGGACTGGTGATGTGGTCGTTTGGTGTTTGGATGGCGTGTGAGGTCTATCGTGAATCAATACTACATAGCAGCTGTCCAAGCATACGTCCAGCAGTTGATTGGATGATTTAATCTCACATAATCGCTCTTTTGTATACACCATCGAGCCGAAAGCCTACACTCCTTGTGATACATTTTCAGAGACACTATCAGCCGATACTAGTAGCATTTGACGACACCCACGTAACCTCTTTCTCACGTCACAGTTATGCCACAGACCTATTCCGCAAGATAACAGAACAAAGACACAGTACCCATCTTCTCAGTTGCTTAGAACAATGCCATCGTCATCACTCCTAGCGTCCACACCATGACCTCATTAGCCTCGCATATTCACAAACTGCAGTTGTACCCTTGATCCCAGGATACCGGATCCTCGTATCTGACAGGTCATCGTCAGGTCCATAGGCCTAGAATCCCATGATCTTCAGGGTCAGTTTAGGATCTGTAGTTTCGGGAATTTTAGAAAAAAAAAGGTTTGTGGGGAAGAAGAAAGATATTGGTGCTAAGGTGGGGACCCGAGCACCCTTGACGACGTTACGAGCAAAAGAAAGACCAATGGGCATACCACTTTCAACGGTACCGAGATAATTGTGGCAGAGAGAGAAAGAAAAAGAAAATATAGTGGGCATAAGAGATTTGGTGGTAGCGAGATAGGTTCCAGGGAAAGCCTAGATAGACGAGTCGACTGGAGCTTTCGCTTCGAGGCTTCACAGCTAAGATGTATTACTTCATATGGAACATAGGAAATAGCCATTCTTTTGCCTCTGACGGTTTCTCGCCTCTTCCGGGATCAACACGGACACATTTAGTCCCAAAACAAAAACCAACGAAAAGACCATCCGGATGCAGACCAAAGAAACAGATCCCGCTTGGAGATATAGACAATTTTCTGGTCCTCCAATCAACAGCATTCTGAATTCAAACGCCACGATCCTGTACCCAATGCCTACTGGTCCTAGTATGCCTTCCGAGCCTAGAACGCCGCGCTGAAACCTCAACATTTGCCAATGTGATCCGACATACCCAAAGACCTTTTTGGAACGCCTGAGAATGCAATGTGACCAAGGAAAGTATCAAGCGAGAGCGACAGCTTTTGCGCTAGCGCTTGATGTGACCGAAGCTGGTGGTGTGGGTGGTGCAACATCGATTGCAGGCGCAACCCAGCCCTCCTGGCGGGCTATCCACATGACCAAGTTAAGGTCAAAATTTTCGAAGAAGACTTCATCAAGGAAGCGAGCCTTGACACCAGCGTAGGTGTGGTACTCTTCGCGAACAGTCTCTGGGTCAACTCCAAGAATCCTTCGAAGGCAGGCAATGGTGCATCCTGTGCGGTGCTTGCCCTTGTTACAGTGGACGAGGATCGGATGGTTGGTGCGATCCATGATCAGGCGCAGAGCTCGTGACATTTCGCACGATTCAACGCGAACTTCGCCCTTGTTGGCCTTGATATGGGCGTGGAAGTGCTGTATACCAGCCTCCTTCATGAAGCCCTGATACTCTGATGAGAGTGGCTCTGGGACCAGAGTCAGAATTGTTTTGATTCCAACATCTTTGAGGAATCCGTAGTTCTTCTCCTCGGGGTAGCTGCTGCGGTATATGCAACCTGGAAGAACGGCACCGTAGTTGGAGGGAGGAATTAGAGACTGCAGCCGATCGGGTACCGAACGAATGGAAACGGCGGGTGTGAGAGTACCATGAGACTCTGCTGTGCAGGTCACAGAGCACTCGTGGTTTTGAGGATCCACGATAACCTTCAAGTCCTCGTGCTTGGTCTCGCCAGCATGTTGGATAAGCCCATCACTCGCAGTGAGCCCAAGAGAGGCGACAAATTCCCTGATCCTTTCGAATAATACGCTTTCCTGAGCGTTTTGGTCATGGCTGGTAGACGTCGCGGAGTCTCGGTTTGGTACAGACATGTTGGAAGCGCTGCAGAGCTTCGAGTCGGAGTGTGTGAGGATAGTATTAAGGGTATTAAAGGTATATGCTCAAGCCCTGCCTGTGTTGTGCCTGGACAAGTTTTGGTCAAACTTTCACAGTGTCGGTCGCAGTAGCTGGATATGCTCGGTAGTAGGTGCGAGTGTCCTGGATGTGAAGTCGTTCGAAGACAGGAGACACGGGGGCAGAAGCCGACGCGGGCAGCCTTTTTCACTGTTAGATTTGATCACGCGCGGTAACTGGCTCGCTTTTGAGGGGTGCTCGGTAGGCAATCGCGCTGTGAACCACGGATGGAGTGGTCGTGTGCGCAGCGGCGAATGGAAGGGCACGCTTTGGAATTGTCGGGGCTGTTCACGGGGCGAGGGTGACAAAAGGTGCAGCGCGAATGGAAGAGCAGGAACGTACCTCGCTGTTACCGGCTGGTTACAGGACACATGTTGGGAGCGTCTTGCGGTGATGCGAAGAGGCGGCGAGGTTCATTGTGGTTCAAAGGTAGGGGTGTGTACTGTGGGTGAGGTGGTGTGGGCAGTGTTCGGATATTTGTGTGGTGACAAGTCGGGGCGGTAGCGAAGGAACGGCAACCGTAGTTCGCGGGGGGTGAGAAGTAGTGTGATTATAACAAAGGCTGGTGTTGTGGACAGTGGAAGAAATCGGGTCGTCCTAGCGCGCCTTTCACGGTTCGAGTGAGATGCGTCGGAATAAATCCGTTTGCCTGGTCGACGAATCTCAGGGTCCGCCAAGCTCCGTACGTCACTTGCCGCACCTCTCCAACGGTACTTTTTGCATGCAGGAACGCAGAGCATATAACTCATCCATGTGAATTTGTCGCCTGCGTGATAGCAACCCTCTCCAGCGACCAGCAAACAGGACGCGAACCCCGCACTTGTCTTGCCATGCCTTGCCAAATGACGGCAAGCACAAAGCAAGCGCCAGTAGCACCTGGGCCTGCTTCGCTTCTGCTCCAAGGCGACCGCCCCACCACCGTCTGTCGCATGGTTCGGACTTGGACGGCGCGTCTCAACACCGTCTCGCCCCCGAGCCTCAGCGACAGGTTTGATGCCCTCCTAACCCCGTCGGCTCCGTCATCGCTCCACTCGTACGATATGGAGCCGTGGGTCTGGTTTCTTGGTAGAACCAAGAAATCTTCTCAAGAACTCCACGGAACAACCGGCACATAAGAGACGTGAATAATACAGTAGGCGCGTCAGAGCATTGCTGTACACGGCAAAGGCCAGTTGGCGAGGCTTAGCAGGCTACTCGCCCACAAAGCAGGCCGACTACTCATATACAACCATCTCATAATTTGCCTTAGCTCAGCTTCCGTGCCACAATCATGCTGATAGTCACTACCGCCACTTCCGACTTCTCCTGCTATTTCCTTCAGGTGCTTTGCCATCGCCATTGTTCGCATCCACATAACCTCAGAGTCTGAAGCTCAAGGGGATATGCCGGAAAAGCATCGAGAACCTTTTCCCACGATTGCATGGGATCTCGTGCGGACAAACATCCTCTCAGACATCGATCACGCATCGGTGCCTTAGGCTGCAGCTTCCTTCTTTCACACTTCTCCAAGTCGAATTTTGCATCTCACCACTTTCACGTGAAAACCCATGCGATGATCCGCTAACCATAAAGGGCTAGTCATCTCTTCCCCAGAGTCCATGTGTCAGGCCGTCGAACCTCGGTCACTCCACCAAACACGGTAAGCATCGTAACATTTCTAGATCCTCATTACAACTCATTGTTTCTTGCTCTGAATTTCAACAATATGGAGCCACTGCGATCAACCTCGCGCTCACGTCGCTCCTATCCGAACCTCCACAATCTCTCCATAGCCCCTCTCAGCGCCAAATACCCTCTCGATGCATCCGTACCGCCTTCACCCGACGAACCAGGGACGCGCACCCCTCGAACATCATACATCGCGCAAAAGTCAGCGCCGGCAACACCGGGTGTATTAAGTCTTAGTCAGAGCCGCAGCAGTTCGCGGCAGCGTCCCAAGAAAGCATATGCGTACGAGAGTTATTTCGTCAATCCCCATTCCGA